GCCATTCTGCACGTGAAGGTCCATGCACACACACACACACACAAAGTCAGCTTTGTTTTGTTGTTGTTACCAAACGTCACCCCTCCACTACTATTACTAAGGAAACATTTGTAACAAAGGTTGTATTTTTCTGTCTGCGACTCAGAGATGGGTCTTTCTGTCACATGTGTTTCCTCCCTGATGATTTCTGTCTAACTTCTGTCCTGAGTTCTTCTTTTGCCTTTCTTGTTATTGTAGTTCACAGATGACCCAACTATCGCCGTGTGCAATGACAGTGGAGGATCTGTTTTTGAGCTGGCTTTCAGGTGAATGACTCTACTTTAAATGAAAAGTAACAGAAATGTTATTTTCAACCATCAGGTTTTTATGAGCAGTTTTTACGCCTCAGCACTGACAAGCTGACGGAGTACTGTTGGCATGGCGATTCAACGTTGTGGATGCAATAGCTGGAAAATGAGGATTTTCTAATTGATACCATAGGTGCATCTACTAAAAATCTCAGATGAGTTAGTAACTTTAACCTCAAGGTCAGAGGTCAAGTTTTTCAAAGATCTTGTGATAACTGAAGAAGGAAGTGACGTCGGACTTTCACATTTCTACCATACGTACATCTATGGGGAGGATATTTTTGATCTTCTACCTCTTAAAGGAACACATTTAATCCCAGCAGCAACAAGTGTTGCCGTTTTAACCCGACTCCGATTCTGTGTATTTATTATGTTCATGCATCTTTCTCATTGGTTCCCCTCGTCTGTTCTCAGGAGGGTGATGGGGATGCGGTCATGTGACTCTCGATGTCTCTTCAGTGGTTCTAAAGGGGAGGTGTGCTGTATCGAACCTTTGCGTTCTCCTCCGGACTTCAGAGACCATCCCATCACGCACTACTCTCTGCTTGCTATGGCATCTCTCACCAAGGTGTGCAAATGCCAAAGGTCGTCCGCAGGTCGTAATCGTGTTCTCATTCATGCAGCATCAGGTTCTGATGGTTTTGTCTTTTCACCCCAGATTCTGGTCATCGGATTAAAGCCGTCCCTGAAAGTCTGGATGACATTTCCTTACAATAAGGTATGAAGTGCGGTTTGCACGTATGAGTCAGATCCACTGACGTGATGAGGCATCGTGTCAGATGTGATGGCACTACTTTGATGTGCTGTAATTAAAGCATACAAATGTTTCAATTTCATTTACCATGAACTGTAATCAAGAGACAGAGTGCAGCTATCGAGTCCTTGTTCAAGATGACCATTTTAAAAAATGGTTTGTCGACGCACTTTCACTTTGGCACATTTTATATCTCAGACTATTAAAGATAAAAGTCCAATCTTACCATCACAGCGAGGATGTGTAATTGGAAACATATTCATTAGAAACTGTCGTTTTTGCAGCACTCATACAAAGTCTCATATGTGAACACAGACGAATATAAAACTAATAACAATTTCTGAATCGTGTGCAGTTGAATTTGACAGTTTATAAACATAAAACATGTAGAATATTTAAAAAAAACAAAAACTTCTTCGTCAGAAAAATAGAAAATGCAATTTTCATTTAAAATTCATGCAGGATTTAGCAAATATGACAAGTTTGATTCAGAATATTTAATTCATCCCTGAAATTATGTGGCCAGTTGCTTTTTATACAATAAACATTATTTGTACAAATTCTAACAAATAGCTGTAATTATAAATATCCCACAAATATACAGATATACACACGCATACATGGACATTGAGGCGCCCCTCTCATCATTCTGTACTTTATTTTTTTTATTTAACCAGGAAAATCCCATTAAAAAACTCTTTTTCAAGGGAGACGTGGCCAAGATAGGCAGCAGCAAGAGTCTCACAAAATTACACAATTAAACACAAACAGCAACAACACACACGCAAAACTAAATGAAAAATAAAAATAAAAAATCAATGAATTCTGTCATTTTCCAGTCGTTCTACAGTTCGTTCCAAGCTGCGGGTGTTAAATGGGTGTTTATTGAGGATGTGCACACAGTAAGGCTGTACAGGCATGTGTACTGTGTTCACAGAGTCACAGGCAGGAAGGATTTCCTGTGTTGCTCAGTGATGCATAGCACATTAATAACATGCACTATCACAGCTGCAACCCTTACAGCAGGCCTAAGAGCCGTCGGTCTCTCTGACAGTCACATAGGAGACATTAATATCAACAGCTTTGATACTTTGAATAGAGTTGGCTCGTTTCATACTCAGCATCATCATTTATTTCTTAACTTGCCAACATGTCCGAAGTGACTCAGCTGCTGTTTTTAGCATTTTTTTGTTTTGCAACTAGAAAGTTGGATTTCTATCTGGTGGTGATACGAGCCACTGGTCCCTGTTCAAAACATGTGTCTTTCCCAGTAGAATGGATGTGCTTCTACATGCTCCTCTCCTTTTTGTTCCTTCTTAGTTAAAGAAGTTAAAGTTTGGATCTTATTCCAAAAACGTGTCTACGTTTTATTTAGTATCACTTCACAGTTAAGCGGGACAGGGCAGAGTGCTGATGGGAATGTGGCACGACCTCCGAGGCGCTACATGAGATTTGAGATTTGTTTCCGATGTCGTGCTATATTCTCCTTTGTTAGTCAGATCCATCCAGTGTTCCTCAGCTGGCCTGGCAGTTTGTTGCTGTCCAGAAGATGGTCAATCCAGTCCTGGCTTTTTGCAAAGGAGATACCGTCCACTTCCTCTTGGTAAGTGCTGAACTGTGATACATCAAAGCTTTCAGTAAATCATTAGTATGTTGAAGCTACGAGGATACAAACTGACACTAAATAATGTTGGACTGAATATTTCCCAGATGTCTGATTTCTGAAGTGCGTAAACACTTCCATCAAAGAGCAGTT